GTATGATTAAGATCTATAACAGAGACTTAATTTCATTAAGATGCTATCACATATTCATTATTAGCTGCCGCCGCTGCCTACCATTATCAACTACCACCATGCCACCACCACCACCACCCCAACCACTACCACCACGCCACCATAATCCTCAATCGTAGCCGCCAGCATTATCGACCATCACCACCCACTATCCCCACCACTCCGACCACCATATAGCATTCTCAATCACAATTAACACTCATCCACCGCAACTACCACAACTGAAAACTCCATCACCATCAACAACCACAGCCGGAACTGCCCATTATTTTAACCTACCACCACACACCCACCACCTTCCTCAGTCACAACTACTACCACCACCCGCCATTATTAACTATCACCGCCCACCACCACCATCCTCAATCATAATTGCCACCACTACCAATCACTACTAGCTACTAGCACGAACCACCATCATCAACCAAAATTATCACAAACCACCGCCTTTAATTAGCATTCACCCGTTAGCCATCACCACCAATAACTATCATATTTTAAAAAATAATATATTTTATTGATAGAATATTGGATTAGTTAGTATTTCATTTGAATTTTATGTTTATTAATTTTCAAATAAAGATAAATTTTATACATTCAGATGTTAAAAATCAAACAATCTTAATTATTTCTATTTAGATCTTAATACACATCTTAATATATTCAGATGTGTATTCAGATTCAGATGTCTTAATCGTAATACACATCTTGATATTCAGATGTGTATTCAGATTCAGACGTCTTAATCTTAATAAAAACAAATGAGGCCTTAGACATATGAGAAGAAATTACCTGGTATCATTAACTGCTACACCATACACTTGGTGCTTATCTTTTAGGAGGCATAATTTAGTTGAAATCTTTGATTTTGCCTTTAATCGCCCTGTGTCCCTGTCTCATGGAAGTTGTTCTCCAGTAGCTTTATCCTTTGAATAATGTTATAGTCATGCCTCCACCAACAGGACAAAGTTCACTTATAAGTTCATGAATAAGCTTGATTTTCTTCTTTCTTTTTTATCTTCTGATTAGCATCTAAAGTTAGCTGTAATCTTTATAAGACGGGCGGTATGTATTAACTTAAAGCTAGGTCTGTATCCTTGTATGATTTTTAAGTACTGTATATTTAAAAAAGACAACAATATTCATACTAAGATAGCTATTCAAGTATTAACTTAAATTTAGGTCTGTATCCTTGTATAATGTTTTAGTACTGTATGTTTAAAAAAGACAAAGATATTCATACTAAGACAACTATTCAAGTTGTTGTCACTGTGATGTATACCCTTTATGATTAAAACCAAACGCCTACCAATTAGACCAGAAATAATTGGTGGGAATGATGTTTAAAAGAATACTTTAGTAAATTCTTATTTACCATGTGACTGCTAGTTTGTCCCCCACCTTCCTTGTTTTCTCTTGGGTTAAATTGCATTCCAAGATGAGTGACCAGCTTATTGCTTGGCCTGTGAAAGGAACATTTTTGCTGTGGTTTGTAAGTCTATTCATTCCTGTGCAAATTTCGAAGGCGCTATTGTAGTTAACGTTAGGCATAAGATATTTAGTGATATAGCAACATGATAAGTTTCCGTAAGATACATCTTTCAATTGTCAAAAGTTAATTAAATAAGTGTGTGAAACTTAGAGATAACTGTTGGCATCAAGCATGGCATAAGATTTACAGATTGATGGAGAGAAATGAGTTAAGTTCTGTAACTGTTTCCTTCAGACTATAATACAAGGATACTGTGTAGGGGTATGTATCTACTTTTAGTTTCTTGTATCATTGTATCTTGGAAGAGTCATAAGAAGTACTGATAGCCTTCTTAATCTATTTGGGAGCTGGCTAATGTCATTTGTGACAATCTGCCTTATCGGTTTCTTTAAATTAGAAAAGACCAGGATAATTTTTTCTATCCAACTGTCATAAACATATTCCAGTTAGGACTGGCAAAAGTTGGTGCTCTTTTAACTTCTCATTTGGCTGGAACAGAATCCCGATGAAAACAACTAAATTTACTTCACTCATTCTTCCCATATCTGAATTTCGTTACGTTAGCATTATGCAGCCTCCCAAATAACTTCCCTAAAACATATTATTTTATTAACTAAGATCCTACAATATCTCTTGAAGACCTTATGCCACTTATTTTCATTTCTAATAATGCTCAGTAGCGAATTAGAGTTAATATTGATCCTACAACTTAGGTTCAGCGCAGTCCCAAATATTTCTTTTACAGATGGACTTTGTTTTAAGTGATTTGTGAGCCAATTCCAGCAATTTTATTATCACATGGCACCAAATTAGGTTTCAGAATTTATTATGAGAGCTTACTGAAATGAATCAATTAGTTCAAGACTATGGTGCTCTGCGGATGAAATTAGTATTTAAGAAGTTGAATTAGAGATCTGGAAGGCTTTACGAGCATTGACAGGATAGAGTCAGGGTTGGTGTTGGGGTGCAATGAAATGTATTATTGAGTCATTTAATTGTCTTCTCGGTCATGTTTGATCCAGTTCTTACTTGCTTCCTCATTTTTCGACGATGTGAGAGATACACTTGGCTCATCACAGGTGTTGTCAGCAGGCTACTTTATCAATACGTGACCTCTGGATTCATAAGGCATGGAAGAGGAATGCCATCTTACTCAGTATCGAGTTATCTTGTTTCTTTGCTTGCCTTTAATTTGTGGAAGTAAAAGTAGAAAGGCCGTGCTCAGTTGACTAGATGTTTCCTTTGCAAAAAGCATCATCTACAGAAAGGGACAGTGAAAGAAAAAGATCTATATAGGGGATATCAATTAGTTGAGAATATATTTTAGTCACGTTAGTTTGTTTACTTTATGTCCTACGTTTTCTAGGAGTCTTTTAGCCTTATCAGAGATTCTTATACTAGTTGTCGAAATGTAGAGAACTTCTGGTACTTTTTATTTTTATTTTTATTCTGCATAATGTTGGCCTGAGAGGCTGAGATAAATTTAAATAGAGAATTATGGTCTGTGAGGATTCTACTGCAATTTGTTTGGGAATAAGGTGTAGTTGTTGTTATTGTATCTGTAAAAGCAGCAGTGAATAACTATTTCCTATCTTGCAGATATTTTGTATGACTCGTGGTCACCTGCCATGACTGTTAGTTCTATATGCATTAGCCTTCTCTCCATGTTGTCAAGTTCAACTGCGAAGGTACCTTTTGTTGCGTCTATTACATCAATTTGAGCTGCTTTTAATGGTCTTTTATACTATGCCAAGTATGCCATCGCCCATTTGTACGGCATTCTCTGAAAAATATGCAATCCACAAAAATTCTTCCTTTGAGCTTCTCCTGCTAGTTTAACTTTAGTCCTTACTAATTCCAATTATTCGTGCAGCAACTCCCTGACGATAATGATCGTTATGTAAAGAACTGTAGAAATGGCAGATCACCGAAGGAAACCAGGTGGTGGTTCCATGATGATAAGGTGTAACAAGTATAATTCGACACTTGCGGCAACATTATAACTCGATTGCATACTTGAAATCAAATGCTATAGAAATTTTTCTGAATATCCAGGATCGTTGCCTGCACATGGTACGAGTGTGCAAATTGGCCTTTCCTGTCCATTAGTTGTAAATGAAGATGGTTTTCCTTATGTGCTGCATGTACAAGATATTATGTACCATATAAGTTATACACTGCAGTCTCAATAAGACCCCACCAAGAATCCTTCTGACATCAGCAATAAGTTAGCACTCAGAATAATGTATTGTTTCTGGTTGTTTATCTTACTGAGGAATAAGTTTGTCTCAGTTATTCCCTTCTTATGTTTTGTTATTGACCTTATCTTGTTATTATGTCCATCTAAAGGGCAGCCCGGTGCATTAAGCTCCCGCTATGTGTGGAGTTCGGGGAAGGGCCGGACCGCAATGGTCTATTGTACGCAGTCTTACCCTGCATTTTTGCAAGAGGCTGTTTCCACGGCTTGAACCCGTGACCTCCTGGTCATATAACAGCAACTTTACCAGTTATGTCCATCTAACTGTGTATTAAATATGATCTTCGTTTCCATGTCTTGATTCACTTTTATCCTATATTAAGATGAAGTGTGATGGCTGCTAAATGATAAAATTGCTGCTATTCACTAAATTGCAAAGATAGTAAGTGTTTCAAACAAGTGTCTATGAATCCATTCATTAACATTTAGCACACTATGAAAAGGACAATCCAAGATGAACAGAAAGAAAATTCTGGAAATAATGTTAAAAGAAAAGCATAAAAATACACCAAGGCTGATGTTGAATATTGTGATATTTAAGAGTTCATCATCCTGCAATTCTTCCGAATCTCGCCTCTGTATCCAGTTAAAGGTGAGATATTTCCCATCTTAACCATAGACTTTGCGAACTGCTCGAAGAAAAGCTCATTGTTTTCTGCATAAAGTCTCACCAATTCTAATGATGCCTGATTTTTGGTCACAAGAACTTGGTCTGAATTAAATAAGCCCTTTGAAGCCAACAAATTCTTGAAATAGTAGTTATCAAATTTTGTAGGGGAGACAAAATCCATGAAAAATAAGTTTTGGTCACCACCAGATTTAGGGCACCTAGTCCGCAATTGAGCAGCATATGATTGATCCAATGTATAGTCTGGTAAATTGTTGCCTGATTGATTGTAGAGCCTTTGCCTGAAACTGGTACATCTTGCATTTCCAATTGTGTGGCTCCCTGTAGAAAAATTTCTTCTAGTATTTACTTCTCGTGATACATAGAGGTAGCAAAATCAATCGATTTTTAGTAACATGCACGTCTAAGTTTAAAAATAAGTTAGGTTATGACTCGTTTGTTAAGTTGACCGCACATGTTAGAACCCGAAATGACTCATCAATTAAACTATTGGGTCAAACAAATCAAAATAGTGTAATTCGACTGGTCAAAATGCAACTCAAATTGAAACATAAAAAATGAAAATTGGAAAACCGGGGATTATGTATATTTGGAAGAAATTAAGCTTATTATTTAAAAATACATTTATTTACTTTTTTTTTCTTTTCAAAAAGCAAAATAAAAAAGAATGGGAGTTGGGTATATTGGGCAGGTTATCTTATAATCCATCATGACCCTTTTATCAATCTGACCCATTTTGACATGTCCAAATTAGGAAAATAGCATGAACTAGCCAATGTTCGGACTAGTAATTGAAAATAGTCAGCGTTTGCAAAGTTATTGAACAATAGCCACTATTTTGTACGAAAATAAATCTGGACAAAAATGCCCTAGCTAAAATACGGAAAGTTTCAGCATAATATGTTGGATTATGGAGCTCCTACGTATAAACTTCCAGTGTATTATATTGGAACTCTAGCACATTTTACTGGAATTTCATATGTAAATAATTCAAACTTCAGCGTATTATAATGCTGGAATTGTTTTGGATTTTTAAGGGTGTTTTTGTTCAAATTTTATCTTTACATGAAAAAGTAACTAAATTTTGATTAATTTTGAAAATTTGACTACTTTTCAATTACCCGTTGTAAATCAGACTATTTATAACCATTTGCCACCTCTAGTCTTCTCTGTAATACATAGTCTAGGTAAAAGTTAAGGAATGATTTTTACCAGATAAAGCAACAAGGTCAACAAGATCAAGTCCTTTTAACTTGAATTTTGTGAGAATGGTATTGAACGTGTTGTTTGGAGCAGGAATATTATTGTTGGAGCCACTTAAGCTAGCATCTCTTGAGTCTCTTCTTCCCAATGGAACCTCCCAATTTGGTCCACCAGCCTGTATAGATAAATAACATACGCTCAAATTTATTAACTTTCATCAACTTATTTAATTATTTGCTAGGATTCATGTGGTTGTATACTTACTAAAACTGTAGAATCCCTAGCAGCAAGAGCCAAGATATCAGCACAAGAAACAGTTTGAGGGCACTCCTTTTCTAGTGCTGATTTAATCTCATCAATTACTTCAAATCCACGAGCTGAATTCCTGTTGGTGTTTGATATCTTTTCACTTATTATGGTTCCACTGCTGTCCAGAAGTAGTGATGCATCACAACCCTACATGATCATAGTAATGAAAAAGTAGAGACAAAAGATGTTAATTGATATCTTCGGGTTTGTTCTAAGTCTTGGTGAGTAGAGTTGCTAAAACTATATATGTTCTTCAATTGAGTCCAATATTTTCGACATAGGACATAGATATATATGTGTGAATAATCACTAAAATATCAACAAATATTAAATTCTGAACTAATTGTTTCAAAAGTATTATAAGCAAATATAGCAAGTTCAATGCTAAGAACTTTAAAGATTGATTTTATCAAGTTTACCAAACTGAACACACAAGGTGCGCGCAAGTTGTTATGGATATCACCATTAAAATAAAATAGAAACTCTTACGTGGTTGCTACTTAATAATATCTACATGAATTCAATTCTTCTTAAATCCTGTGTTGCTCGGACTCTTTGAAAATGTTGCTAGATGCATGCCGGATCCTTCAAAAGTAGTATATTTTTGGAGGATCCGGCACGTATGCGGCAACATCTTGGAGAGTCCGTGAAGCCCGGTTCACATACTTACAATAAGCTTACCATCACTTAACTAAGAGTCATTAATCTTTAGTCTTAGAGATATGATTTACCTTGACAAAACAATCATGGAAATGGAGCCTCAGCAAAGAGGCAGCCATTCGGGCTTCTCTGGCTACAGCTTTAGCAACAACAGACTTGACGATTTCTTTAGCTTGTGGGCATGACCAATCGTAAAATTGTGGGTATAGGTAACCATAATAATTGCTCTTGCTACAGAAACATATTGGTGCAAAAGCAAGAAGAGATATGACCATAAAAAAGCTCACTGATTTAACCATTTCTTGCCAAAATTTTAGTTTTATAGACTTGTTATATAGAAGAAATTTTAATATGTAAGAAGAATGAATTTGTTTTGATGAAATATTTGAGATGGTGTTCATGAGTATATATAGTGTTCAATGCAAATAGATGGAGTTGGTAGCTTTTTAGTTAGGATTAAAATAAATATTATATTTTCACCTTTTTTGGTCTAGTGAAGTAGAACCTGCTTTACAAGTAATGATGTTTGATTCGGTCTTTATTCAGCTATTTAATTTACAAATTTTAACTCATTTTTTCAAAAATTTAACTTATATACTCTGATAGCGTAAACTAATTTTTATATTATTATTAAAATTTTAACTTATTGCAAGTTGTCTCTATTATTTTCTAGATAATTAGTTTTACTGAATATATGAACAATTACTTGTAGTTATCTGAAATGTTAAATTTCTTTTGACATTTAATGCATATAATTTAAACTCTTTTAATCGCATAACAGATGATTGATATATTATGGTTCCTTATCTTAGTATGGGATAACTTAGCAAATTTTTTGCCTCTAGAGAGTTGATCAATGTTACTAGGTCCACTTCTAGACATAGAAAATATAGAAAGAAGAATAAAATGAGGTTTAATTCTTAATCAATTGATTCATGGGAGACAAATGACAAAGTTCTTGATTAAATGATCGATTAGACAATAATATGCATGAATAAGCCTGGTATTGATTTTTTTTTTTTCTTTTTCTTGATCTTTTGTATCATGATACCTAGGAATTCTTTTAATTAAAATATTTAAAAAGCATGAGAATATAAGTTGATTTGGTCAACCAAATAACCATAGTATATTGCATTTGGTCGAGGAGAGTCGGAGACGACAACCAATCAGATTCACCTAATATACCCTTTCTGGTTATCCATTATAGACCAACTTTTTTTTTTTTTTTTTTAAAGCATAAGAGCAGCTACAATACATACCAAATTATAGGGTTATATTTTGGTAAAATCAG